GTCGTGAGGGTAAGTAAGCTAATACCCCCAGGACTGCTAGAACAGTGTCTGGGCCCTAGTAATTGCATTTTAAGTGTTAGCTATTGGGGTTGGGGTAGAGGGCAGTGCAGTGGTGGTTGGAAAAGATGTTCCTAACACCACCTATCAGTGGAACAGCCCTTCACAGAGAGCCTGACACCACAGCAGGCCAGGAGGGAGCTGGGGACAGGAGGCTGTAGAGATCAATAGAATCCGGGCCCGAGTGCTCAGGAACCAATGTCTTCTTATGGAGGATGCAAACAACTAAGCCACCACATTTGAGCATAACACAAGAGTTTCAGACAAATGCTAGGGTGCCGAGACACAGAGTAACTTGGTCTGCCTTCAGTGTTTGGAAGAGGCCAGGCAGGCCGGCCAGTCTTGGAGATTAAGCCAGCCAAGAAAGGTTATGAAAAGATAGTCTGAGAAACAGGGAACATGGTGTCCAAGGTGGCAGCTCCTGGGTGGTTGGCTGGGGCTTGGAAGTGAGTGGTGTGACTGGGGCTGACCAGTTTGGAGTGGCCAGCAGGGACTGGTCTTGCAATGCTCTGCCAAGAGTTTGCATTTTATCCTGTGGTAGGAGGAAGTGAAGAGACTAGGAAGTAGGGAAACCAACCACAGTGGTGCACTTGAAAGATTTCTCAGCCAGGCGCGGTGCGGCTCACGCCTGTAATCCAGCACTTTGGGAGGCCAAGGTGCTTAGACCGCTTGAAGTCAGGAGTTCGAGACCAGCCTGAGCAACATGGCAAAACCCCATCTCTCCTAAAAATACAAAAATTAACCGGGTAAGGTGGCGGGTGCCTGCAATCCCAGCTACTTGGGAGGCTGAGGTAGAAGAATCGCTTGAACCCAGGAGGTAGAGGTTGCAGTGAGCCAAGGGCGTGCCACTGCACTTCAGCCTGGGCAACAGCGTAAGACTCCATCTCAAAACAAAAAAAAAAGAGAAAGATTTCTTTGGCAGAAGCGTGGAGGGTAAATAAGATGGGAAGAGAGCAATGGCAGCGAGGTCCACTGTTTAAGTGGTCCCAGCAGCAGTAAGGGCAAGAGACAACGAGGGAGGGGTCTTAGAGAACAGAGGGGAGGACTCTTAGAAAGTGGATTAATCTGGAAGGATGACAAAGAAGAAGGGGTGGAGATCAGCATCTGGGAAGTTAATGATGTCCTTAATGGAGGTCAGGAATAAAGAGAGGGGAGTGGGGGTCTCACTCCCATTACTCAGGCTGGAATGCAGTGGCTACAGCTTCAACTTCACAAGCTCAGGTGATCCTCCCACCCCAGCCTCCTGAGAAGCTGGGACTACAGGCATGCACCACCATACCCACCTAATTTTTGTATGTTTAGTAGAGATGGGGTTTCGCCATGTTGCCCAGTCTGGTCTCAAACTCCCGGGCTCAAGCAATCCGCCCACCTCAGTATCCCAAAGAGATGGGATTACAGGGGTAAGCCACCATGCCCAGCCTACAAAGAAGGTTTCAGAAAGGTAGGCTTGAGGTGGCTAAGACTGCCAGGAGGCTGCTGGAGAGGACAGAAATGGTGGGTGCCACCATGAGAAGAAGGTCCAGCAGGAGATGCCTATCACACTGAGTAGAGCAAGCCTGACCGTGATGCTAATACATGGATGAACACTGAGTCACAGGCAGAGTGTGGCATGTGGGGGCTCCAGCAGGAGGCGTGGGAGGCGTATTGCAGGGGCTGAGAGGGCTCCCTCACTCAGTTCACGGCCAGAAAATCGCAAAGGATCACAGCTTACATTGCCTGGTTTAATTACATAATGGATTATATGATCTAACGTGAACTAAATTAACCTTTACCGAATGGACAAGGGCTTTAAAAAGATTCCAGCAAAAACCCTGCAGATTAAAGATCATCCTAATTTAGCAAGCACTGGCACACAAGAAAATGGCAAAGCCAGCCCTGCTCCTCACAGGAACTCTGCCAGCTCTGTTATGAGGCTAAAACAGTGACAGTCTCGTCAGGGCTAACAGGAAGATGGCCAAAAGATTTTTTTGTTTTTGATTTTTATGGATCTCTAAGAGTCGTACACATGTATGGGGTATGTATGATATTGTAACACAAGCATATAATGTGTAATGATCAAATATGGTTAACTGGGATAGCCGTCACCTCAAACACTGATCATTTCTTTGTGTTGAGAACATTCCAAACATTCTCTTCTAGCTATTTTGAAATATACAATAAATGATTGTCAACTATAGTTGCCCTATTGTGTTATCCAACTCTAGAACATATTTTTTCTATTTATACATTTTTGTAATTTGTAATTATCAAGGTGACTATTTGAAATGTGGACTTTCATGTCTACCATCATTAAAAATGAACCTTACCCCAAATATATATTGTGTTGAGATCCTAATGGCAGTAGGTTGTGCATACAATGTGTGCATAATTGAACATATATTAAGGGTGCAGGCTCAAATTTTACAACTAATGAGATGTAACACCTCGGTTGGGGGGTTGTCATCTCACACAGAATTTGATCTGGGCAAAAATTCTTAAGTCATGGGTCTTGGGTCCTAGGGAATGAACTGTTTTCCTGCTTATCCGTTCCCACATCTGAAATCCTATGTATTGCCCTTACCTCTAAGAACAAAGGATGCTTGTATTCTAGAGCGTGGCTGCAATGACTCATTTGTCCTTCATCACCTTGGTTCTCTCTTCCTTCTGGAGATGAGGGAAAGATTAGCTGAGCTCCCTAGAGAAAAGCCTTAAGTAAACACAAAGTGTTGCTGAAGTTTTTGTTACTATTTTCGGCAACACTATTTCGGCAGCAATGGTGTCTGGTGCTCTAGGGAATTCTAATTAGGATCCAGGAGTGGACCGGCTCTAACCTTTTAACACCATGTGAATCCAGGGGTCCTGCTGGCATGAGTCCTACGGGGCCTGGAGGCTGCTGGGGCTTAGAAAGATGAAGCCCACGTGCAACACTTGCAGGGAATTTAAATAAGTAAAAAAAAGATGGGCCCGGCTTGGCGGCTCATGCCTGTAATCCCAGCATTTTGGAAGGCTGAGGCGGGCAGATCACGAGGTCAGGAGTTCAAGCCTAGTTCAACCTCTGCTACTCAGGAGGCTAAGGCAGGAGAATTGCTTGAACCTGGGAGGTGGAGGTTGCAGTGAGCCGAGATCACGCCACTGCACTCCATCCTGGGCTACAGAGCGAGCCTCTGTCTCAATCGATCAATCAATCAATAAAAGATTTTTAAAAATAGAAAAGATGAAGCCCCAAAAGAGTGAGATTATCATTCTCAAAGAAGGAAGAGCCTGCCTCCTGCTAGACAGAGTCCGAGATGGAACTGGACCAGCCACTGGTCGAGGAAAGCGTTCTGAGTGTCAGCCCAGGAGCCAAAGCTAGGAGCTGATGTCTTCATGGAGACTTGGGTACCTACATCCAACCTAGAGAGGAGGCTGGGGTGGGGGTAAGGGGCCTTCCTGGCTTTTGTACTCTCTTTCTCTCTCAAGCCAATAATACACACTCATAAAATGTTACATTAAATAGACATTTTGGAGCCGGGGGAGACAGGGTCTTGCTCTGTTGCCCAGGCTGGAGTGCCGTGGTAAGACTTGGCTCACTGCAACCTTTGCCTCCCTGGCTCAGTCAATGCTCCCACCTCAGCCTCCTAAGTAGCTGGGACAGCAGGCATGTGCCACCATGCCTGGCTAATTTTACTTTTTGTAGAGCTAGGGTCCCACTATGTTGCCCAAGCTGGTCTCAAACTTTTGGGCTTAAGCAATCCTTCTGCCTCAGCCTCTCAAAGTGCTGGGATTACAGGTGTAAGCCACCGCATCTGACCTTAAATAATTATTTTTATATTTTGAAGCACAATTGTGGGGGGATTTAATAAAGTGGGATGATTATTCTCCACAATTTATGTCCAGTACTTATGTACTGATTCCATTCCCTGTGTATAAGGTGCTGTACTACACACCATGGAGACACAGAGATGAACGAGACATCACAATGTTGATAATTAAGATACACACAGACACACAACACAAGGTGAGTACCAGGGCTTGAAAGGGTCTGAAGAAAAGGAAGCAGGGGTCCAAGGTGGATGAGGGTCAGGCATAGTCATGGAGGAGATGGCCTCTGGCCTGGGCCTTGAAGGCGATGAGGGTCTTGCCAGGTGGAGGTAGAGGTGCAGGGAATGACAGTCCCAAAGAAGGAGGAAAGTCCCCAAATGGAAAAGCGTGGCATGCGCATGACCATTGGTGAGTACTTCCTTCTGGCTGGCATCCTGAGGGTGAAAGAGAAGAGTGGATTTGGAAAGGTGTATTAGAACCAGATTTCAAATGGCCATGTGCTGGAACACTAGATCCAGAGTTTATCTTCACTGAGCCATGGGGAGCCTTGAAGAGCTTTTGGGCAGGAGAGGTAGTTAACCCAAAAAAGTTAAAAAACAAAACCTAACCTGTCCAGGATTCTATGGTGAGTTAGTTTAAGGCCCAGACTGGACTTGAATCCAGATTTGGATTGACACAACCAAGGCGCCTGGCTGTCACATTGATGAGACACAGATGGGTCTATGGGAAAGTGCTCCAGGCCAGGGGTGGGCACACTGCTTCTCCCAGAAGCACTGGAGCCTGAGTTTCCAAGTAGCTGGGTGTCTTACCCTGCTGCTGGCTTAGGTCTTAGAGCTGAATCTTCCCATGGAAACTGGGTGGTGGACAAGCCAGTGGCTGGACTGTAGTTCTTGGGAACCCAGATGGGTTGGGCTGGGAATGGCAGAGTCTGGGATCACTTCAATAAAATGAAGGGAGAGGAGCCCTTGCGGTGTCCTGGGGTGTGAGGCACACAGGGCGTGGGGCCTTGCATTCCTGGATGGTTGAGACGCCACAGCTGATTATTATCATTATTATTCCTGTTTTGGCTTCTCCGAGCTTTCATCCTGCAGGATTCTGCCTTGCTGGGCCAGCATCACCAACTAGCAAGAGGCGGGGTGGGGCAGGCGTCTCCTGGCTGCAAGAGAACACAGCGTGACTATGGGTTTCTCTCCCAGTGCTGAACTCCTTCCTAACTCTGAAGAATTTTTCAAGGGGAAACTGAGGCGCAGAGGCAGGGAATGATTTGACCAAGTTTTTGTAGCAGAGATTCCTTCCCTCCCCCATCACTTCCCACTCACTAGACCATGCCTGTCCTCAGTTAGGGCAGATCTCACTGGCCTGGAGGGGAGCCAGAGAAGGTGTGGATTCTAGAAGAGAAAACTGGGCTGTAGCCAGGACAGCAGAACTGGTACCCTCTGTGCCAGGCACTGTGGGCACCATGAGGTCAGGCTCCTGGTTTCGCGTCTCTCTGGAGGTTCTGCCATATGGGTGGATCTTCCCCAGCTCCCTGAGGGAAGGCAGCAATGCAGACGTGCAAGAAGCCCAGCTCCCTCCCGTCAGAGGCCAGATTCAGCATCCCAGGATAGGAAAAGCCTGGATCTCTGGATCTCATAAAGATGGGCCAGGCCCAGGGGCAGAGGGCCAGACAATGGCTCAGAGACAGGGAAAGGTGTGTACGTGTGTGCTGTGTGCGCATTTGCTAACACGAGGCTTCCAGTGGTGACATGTCCCTGCCTGCCGAGATGAGATGGGCAGAGAGACTAGAAGGGAATGTGAACAACAGTGTGAGGAGTGGGTGTGAGTGAGTGGAATTCCACAAAGTGCATGGTCCTGGCAGACAGCGCGTACCCCTAGGAAAAGGGAGGTGCAGGCTGCAGGTGGAGACCCAGTTTCCTTCCTCAATACCTGCTGTCCATGTGGAGAGTGGCAACCTTTGGGGACATCTTCTGGCTTCAAGGAGATGTGGGACAACACAGAAGGGTAGACTCAGGAAGCTGGAGGAGACAGGACAGTAACCCCTCTTCAGTGGCCTCCCCAAGCTCTGGCATCATCCAAGCCTCCCAGAGCCACCCAAGCAGCCAAGCATTCATGTATCAATTTATTAAGCAGCTGCTCTGTGCAAGGAGCTGTGCTTGGAGCTGTGGGTGTAGATGCATAAGACATGTCCTCTGCCTTTAGGAAGCTCTCTTTGAAGAAAGACAGACCTTTTTCTTTTTGGCTTCACTTCTACTCTCCACACCATCCAACACCAGACTTCTGGGCTGAGCCCCAAGGCATCTTCTTCCCTGGCCATTTTTGGCCATGACTACACCGGCAACTGCCTCTGCCATCAGATTGCCTGTCAGCTCTCCGAGGTCACACGGGAGCAGTGCTCACCAGAATTCTTGGGTTTCTTGTTCGTTTGTTTTGTTTTTATTTTTATTTTTTTAGAGATGGGGTCTCGCTATGTTGCCCAGGCTGGAGTGTAGTGGCTATTCACGGGCACGATCCCACTACTGATCAGCATGGGAGTTTTGACCTGCTCTGTTTCCAACCTGGGCCAGTTCACCCCTCCTTAGGCAACCTGGTGGTCCCCCGCTCCCGGGTGGTCACCATATTGATGCCAAACTTAGTGCAAACACCCGATCCACATAGCACACTACAGCCCAGAACTCCTGGACTCAAGTGATCCTCCAGCCTCAGCCTCCCGAGTAGCTGGGACTACAGGCACGCACCACTGTGCTGGGCTGTTTTGTGGTTTTTTTTTTGAGACAGAGTCTCGCTCTGTCGCCCAGGCTGGAGTGCAGTAGCATGATCACAGCTCACTGAAGCCTCAACTTCCCAGGCTCCAGTGATCCTCCCCTCCTCAGCCTCTGGAGGAGCTAGGAGCACAGGCACATGCCACCACACTTGGCTAATTTTATTATGTTTATATTTTTGTAGAGACAGGGTTTCCTTATGTTGCCCAGGCTGGTCTCAAACTCCTGGGTTTAAGGGATCCTCTGTCTCAGCCTCCCTAAGTGTTGGGATTACAGGCATGAGCCACCAAGTCTGGCCACTTGCTGGTTTCTTGACACCAACCCAACTGAAACATTCAGCCCTCAGCCATAAAAATTTTCTCTTGAGCTTGCCATGGTGATCAAGCCACTCCAAGACTCACTGTTCATCTGTGATCCTGCTGTCTTCCAGATCAAATACACCTTTCATCCTGTAAAGCCACCACCTGCTTGCCTATTGGTGACGTGAAGAAACTGCAGTGGCTCCTTGTTGCTTATCAGATATAATTTGAACTTTTTGGGCTATTTTCCAGGGCCCTCCCACATGTTTCAAGCTCTTATTATCCCTTCCTGTCCCCAGCACACAAGTGTTTGTAATGTAACTCTCTACATCTGAACAAGAGCGAAGACCTCTTTAAGGTAATCATTTTGATGTTTATAGTTAATTTATTCAACAAACATTTACTGAATAACTGCTAGGTGCCAGGCACTGTGACAGGTACTAAGACAGTTTTGATGGTGATGGTGACTAGGACAAACATGCCTGCTCTGGGGGAGCCCATGAGCTAGCAGGGAGGATAGACACTAATGATAAAAATAAAATGTGTTGGCCGTGTGCAGTGGCTCATACCTGTATTCTCAGCATTTTGGGAGGCTCAGAGGGGTGGATTGCTTGAGGTCAGAAATTTGAGACCAGCCTGGGCAACATGGTGAAATCTCGTCTCTACTAAAAATATAAAACTTAGGCTGGGCACAGTGGCTCATGCCTGTAATCTCAGCACTTTGGGAGGCTGAGGTGGGCAGACTATGTGAGGGCAGAAGTTTAAGACCAGCCTGACCAACATGGTGAAACCTCGTTGCTACAAAAATACAAAAATTAGCTGGGCATGATGGTGGGCGCCTGTAATCCCAGCTACTCGGGAGGCTGAGGCAGGAGAATCGCTTGAACCCAGGAGGTAGAGGTTGCAGTGAGCTGAGATCGAGCCACTGAACTCCAGCCTGGGTGACAGAGAGAGACTCCATCTCAAAAAAAAAACAAAAAAACAAAAAAACCCACAAAAGTTAGCCAGGTGTGATGGTACATACCTGTAGTCCCAGCTAGTCAGGAGGATGAGGCAGGAGAATCACTTGAATCTGGGAGGCAAAGGCTGCAGTGAGCCTAGATCATGATGCTGTACTCCAGACTGGGTGACAGAGTGAGACTCCATCAAAAAAATTAATTACTTATTAATAAAATAGAATGTGGTGAGTTGTCAAATGGGACAATTGTGGGGTTCCTGACAGTCCTGCAGAGCTGCATTTCTACTGTGGCCTCACACATTTTTTTTTCCTGCCTGGGTTCTTCACAGAGCAGAGTGTGCCTTGCTGTGAGAGAGCAGAGATGGCTCCAGGAGGACGGGCATGTGGCAAGACTAAAGGGCAACAGCCCCAGTCTGTTCTTCCCACCTCAGGTGAGGTCTCCCTCTTCCCAAACTCAGTGTCCTCTGGAAGTGACTCAGGAAGCAGGGACAGAATTAAGCACCTACAAATTCCATATAAAAGCAAACCCTTTGGATGATGAAATTATGAAGGGCTGCAAAAAGCACTTCACAATTTCACCGTGTTAGGAAATATTAGCTCCTGCCCTCCCCAGAAAGCAGCTTTTTCTGTCTTGTTGGGTGTGATCCCTTCTGTTGTGACTAAATTGCCCATGACAGGTGGTGCTCCCATGTTTTTGAAGCTTGTCCATGAATGAAGGCTCTAACCCCTCATGCAGTTGTTTGATGTTGAGTCAGTGTTTAAGTATAACTGGCAGAAAAGTCTTCCAACTGTCTCACCAAGATGAGATGCTGCAAATTCCACCCTCTTGCTTGTCTACCACCCTTTGCAGAATGGAGAAACCAAGGGAAAGTTATAAAGTATACTCTACTCTGTAATCCCAGCACTTTGGGAGGCCGAGGCGGGTGGATCATGAGGTCAAGAGATCAAGACCATCCTGGTCAACATGGTGTAACCCCGTCTCTACTAAAAATACAAAAAATTAGCTGGGCATGGTGGTGTGTGCCTGTAATCCCAGCCACTCAGGAGGCCGAGGCAGGAGAATTGCCTGAACCCAGGAGGTGGAGGTTGCGATGAGCCGAGGTGGCGCCATTGCACTCCAGTTTGGGTAACAAGAGCGAAACTCCGTCTCAAAAAATAAAAATAAATAAATAAATAAGGTATACTTTACTAAAAACTCCTATAAAACTGATATAAGTAAAAAGCCACTGGATCTGATGACCTTCACTTTGTCAACATCCTGTATGGACAATTTTTAGAGGATGTGATAGTCAGGGGCAAGAAGACAGAGGGCTTAGGCATGCTTGGGTGCTCTCCAAGGGCCCCTTCCTGAGTGGCATTTCTCCCTACTTGGTGCCTTTGGCACCAAGGCACATGGGGCTGAGGGTACCATTCCTGGTCGTGGAACTGGGAAGGATCGCAAGAAGGCTGGGGCAGAGGGAGGATGTTAATATGCAGCACAGCAGTAAAGCACTCCTTTTTAGGTGTGCTGGGAAAAATGAAACTGACCTGATCTCTAAAGGGAGAAAGGCATTTGAGAAAGAAAATTTTCTTGTTTTTTTTTCTGAGATGGAGTCTTGCTCTGATACCCAGCCTGTAGTGCAGTGTGGTGTGATCTCAGCTCACTGCAACCTCTGCCTCCTGGATTCAAGGGATTCTCCTGCCTCAGCCTCCCAAGTAACTGAGATTACAGGCTCATGCCACCACACCCAGCTAATTTTTTTATACTTTTAGTAGAGATGGGGTTTTGCCATGTTGGCCAGGCAAATATCAAACTCCTGACTTCAGGAGAACCGCCCACCTCAGCCTCCCAAAGTGTTGGTATTACAGGCATGAACCATGGTGCCCAGCCAAGAAAGAAAATTTTCAAAGGCTGCTGCCTAAAGTTTGTGGATGTTTCCTAAATCAAAGGGCAACTCCCTACATGGAAAAGAGTCCTTTCCTCTCTCCCTCGCTTTTGTTTTTCTTTCCTCCCTCCCTCCCTTCCCTCCATCTTTCCTCTGGCTTTCTTGCTTTCCTCCAGAGTCTAAAACAGTGAGTCCCTGCAGAAGGATGTCTTTGTTCTTGCTGGAGTCCACAGCCTGGAACGCCCTTTCCCTTTTCTCTTCCAGGTACAATCTTACCATCCTTTTAGCTAAAATCCAAAGTCCTTTATGCTACATTTCCCATCCAGATGAGCTCTGGCTGAACTCTCCTTTCTCCGAATTTCCCATTTAAATCCACTAAATTATGTGGCTTGATATGATTACATAATGTCTCATGTTCTCCAGCTGTGTAACGTAGTACATGAGTCTTGTCTCCCCAACCAGGTTGTAAACGTCTAGAGAGCAGAGCCCAGGCCTTACATCTGGGAGTCCCTCAGAACACTGAGCGCAGGGCTGGGTGTGTAACAGGCCTTTATTGAGACCTTCATTTGCCTTTTGCTTCTCGTTAAACATCAGAGAATTCATACTGGAGAAAACATTTATAAGTGTAATAAGTGTGCATAAGCCTTTATTGGGGTGGAGTGGAGTAATCATATTCTACAACATCAGAGAATTCCTACTGGAAAGGAACCCTGTGTCTGGCTATGGGAGAGCCCTCAGGGGGAATCTGGAGGCTTAGAAGGTACGCCTTACCCAATACCATGGAACTCAATGACTTGAATGTTGTGACTATGGGGAAACCTTCACTCAAGATGAGATCCAGCATCAGCAAGCACCTTAGAGAGGTGAAACTATGAATCTAAAGAATGTGAGATGGCTAGGCATAGCAGTGTATGCCTGTAATCCCAACACTTTGAGAAGCCAAAGTGGGCAGATTATTTGAGCTCAGGAGTTTGAGATCAGCCTGTGAAACATAGTGGGACCCTGTCTCTACAAAGAATTAAAAAAAAAAAAAAAAAGCTGTGCATGGTGGTGTGTGCCTGTGGTCCCAGCTACTTGGGAGGCTGAGGTGGGAGATCACTTGAGCCCAGGAGGTCAAGGGTCAAGGCTGCAATG